GGTGGGCGGGAGGCGGGCGGGCAGGGCGCGGCGGCGCCGTGCGGCCGTGGCGCCCGCGGGGATTACAGTTCGCTCAAAAATCACTCGCGTGTGTTGGAACAGAGAGCACCGCTCGCGCGGGCGCGGCGAGAGGGGGAAGGGAGACGCGCCGCGCCGCGCCGCACGCCGCGCGAGCGGGCGCGGGCGGCGGGGCTGGAACAAGGGGGGTGGGGACAAACGTGCATCTTGCAACTCGCTCGACTGGGGGGAGGGGGGGCTGTGGGTTGTGGGCGTGCGGCCGGGGCCGGCAGGCGAGGGGGCTCTGTATGGGAGCCGCCGCCGCCCGCGGGTGTGCCCGGCCGAGAATTGCCGCTCGCTCTAAAATGGGGTGCTGCGGCTCCGACGTTTGAAAAGAGGGGCTGCAGGGCAAGGCAGGGGCTAGCGGACAAACTGCTAGGTCCAAAACGGATGGGGCGGCGCAGTCGAGCCGTGTGGTGCATGGCCGCGCATTAAGAGCGCACACCAGGCACGCGCACGCGCTCTCCGTCCGCCGCCGCCACCGCCGTCATCAGGCGCACGCGCCCGCCGCGGGCGCGCCGGGGGCGGCCGCCGCTGCTGCCGCCGCTGGCGCCGCGTCTTCGCTATACACTTCGAGTGCCTTGCGCAGCCGCTTCAGCGCCGGCGGGCTCATGTTGGCCGTGAACTCGGCCACGCGGGCGCCGCCCCTGTAAAAGTGGAAGTAGGGGATCTTAGTAATCTCCTCTGCCTCGCAGTACTCCCGCAGGCCGTCCAAGAAGCCGTTGACCTTCAGAAAAACGACGCGCTCCTGCACCTCGCGCGCAATCTGGCGTAGCTTGGGCTGCGGGGCGGGGGGACGAGGTAAGGGCGTGCAGTACGAAGGGTTGAAAAAGGGGTCGGAAAAGGGGAGCAGGGACGTCGGCTGGCAGGCAAGGCGGCCGCAGTCGGGGGGCGTGGCGGCGCGGTGGGCGGGGCCGAGGCGGCGCCTGGCGTGTTTGCGCCGAGGAGGGCTATCTTATATGGGGGGGGTGTCCGACCTGCATGGTGCGGCAGGCGTAGCACTCTGGGCTGAAGAAGTTGACAACCACCAGCTTTCCCGCTGCGCACGCGCCCCGTGTCGTGGAGAGCAGCTGCTCGGCGCTGTCCACGTTGATCATATTGGGCGGGCAGTCCACCTCCCACCTAGGAGGCCGCGAGAGTTCGGGGCGGGGGAGTCAGGAGGGGCCGGCGCTGCGTTTCGCCGCCACGGTTGTGTGACTCGCCGGAGTCGGCTGCAAGCTGCAGCAGCGACGAGTCTGGGCACACGTCCAAGACGGACGCATAGCCATGTCTACATACTGCAATCGCAATGGGGGTGGTGGGCTGCCCAGGCAACCCAGACGGGCACGAGATCGATCGTTGAAACCCCAGGAGGACTCACCACGGGGCGTCGTCTGCCTTGTGCTGCTTTTCGCGCATCGCCGCCATCTCTGCCCGCAACTGCATGCGCCTGTGGGGGAAAAGCGAGGCGTTATGGCGTCCGCCCTCTCACGATGACCGAGTCTCACACACGCTCCCCACGGGTGCTGCTTCTCACCTGCGGGCGGTCTCCTCCATCTGCTGCTGCACGTGGTCATTAACAGCGACCTCTGCCGCTCCAGGGGCGCTGATGCGCGCGGCCACCATTGCTCGCCGAGGCACCACGCCAAAGGCCAAGCCTGCCCGCCTAGGAGCCCCGACGAGAGCGCCGGGGCCCTGATGGATAACAAGGGACATTGAACGTGGTTGCAGGCCGCTGCTTGCTGCTCGCCCGGGTCTTTTCAAGTCAGGCGCCGAGCGAGGAGTGTTGTGCGCAGATAGGGTGGTCCAAGCACGAGAGAAGACTGTAAGCGTATACAATTTCGCGTTGCTGGGCCCGGCAAGTGTGATTGCTGAGTGAGATGCACAGGCCCAACATCCATCCGCACACCGACTGCTCAGGTGCCAAGCAAATCGCCAGGCGGGCGCGCAGACCCACCCACGCGCAGCCGGGGCCCATATGGACAAGCCGCCACCTCACACTCCCAGCCGCTCCATTTTACAGCTCTGTTCGCACGCGCTTATTGGGCCCAGGCCTTGCGAAGGTTCAGGCGTGGCGCTGACCCCGTGAACGGCAGCTGCACGTGCACGCGGCCAACCGCGCTCGCGGGTTCTCGCGTCACCCGCGGACGCCCGCGCTTGGCCGCCGCGGGACCGGAAATAGCAACGCTGACTGCTGTGCTTGACGGCGCGGTGCAGTGCGGGGCCGCGGCCATCAGGAGCGCTCGCCGCCCACCCCCTGCTCTTGTGTCATTTGATCTCATTTAGGGTTTCTCTTGGCGAAGGGCAAACCCTTGGCCGGCGCTTCGTCAGAGGAGCACAAGCCCCGACCCCGCAGCCACCAGCCTCCTGGCCCACGTCCCCACAAAAGAGCGCAGGCGCGGCGCGCCTCAGCCCCGCAGATGCATAACCCACACGCCGCACTCCGTGCCGTCCCGCCAGTCGCCGCGCGCCGCCAACTCTCCCTCCAGCCGCGCCTGCGCGTCCCGCTGCAGCGGCGCGCGGCCGAACCCGGATGCCTCCAGGAGCTCCCAATACTTTAGGAATGCGATGCGGGGTAGCAGGCGCGGGCTTTGTTGTGATATTGGGGTGGGGGGGACGCGTGATCTTCGAGGCCGCCCTCAGGAGTGGCAGCACCATACCCCAACGAGGGGGCCTCGCAGACTCCTGCCTGCGCAAAATCTGCACAGGCCTGCATGCTGAGAAACGGACGCACGTACATGCGCAAACGCGCTTGCACACCCCCCACATGAGAGCCCACTCAGGCGCATGCACATGCCTCCCCCCTTAACCCCATGGCGCACCTGCGGATACAGCACTCCCTCCACACGCCGCGTCTCCGCCTGCACCACCAGCGTGTCTGGGCTGCACGCCCCCGCCAGGGTCGCCACGAGCTTCTCCCACAGGCTTGGGTCCGAACCATACACAACGTCTGACATCAGAATGACATCAGCATGCTGCTGCTGCTGCTGCTGCTGCTGCTGCTGCCGCCGCTGCTGCTGCGCATGGTGTTGATGGTGGTCGTGGCGCACCCCCCGCTGCGCGCCGCGACGGAAGTCTTGCGATCCCAATGACAAATCAGTTTCCCGTCCATCAGGGGCACTTTGCTGCTTTGACAAATCGGACGTGCCATGATCGCCGCTGCCCAGCGCTGCGCGCAGCTGCACCTCATCGCCCCACAACAGCTGCGCCGTCCGCACGGCGTGCCGCGTCAAGGGCGCGCCCCCGGGGCCCCGTGTGTTGTGCGCAATATTTTTCGCCGCCACCTGCGGTCAAATGCGCATTGCAACATCCACTTCTCATGCCGCAGCGGCGCGCTGTACGATGCAGGCGGCGCTGTGGTTCTCGCCCCCCGTGGCGCGCTCTCGCGCTCTGATGCATGGCTGCCCACCCACTGGTGACACTCCCAGCCCAGCCGCTGCAACCAGCAAGCCGCAGGGCGTTAACAGCTTCACCCGCGTCGGCATATGCGTGCGCACACACACAGACACACACACACACACACACACACACACACACACACACACACACACACTCGCACGCACCCACGCACACACACACACACACACACATGCGCGCGCGCACGTGTGGGCGCGTTCACACCCTCCCCCCCTTACACACATACAAACATACATACACACACGCGCACGCTCGCATGCATATGCAACAAATACACACGAGGCGCGCACACACTGAAACTCACCCTCAGCAGGTCGCCATCGCCGTCCGTCGCCACGACCCGCGCCCCCAGCCGCGCCGCCGTGCACGCCACGAGACCCAGGCCGCACCCCAACTCCAACACCAGCTTGTCTTGCCAGACCCAGCCGCCGCCGGCGCCGCCAGCAGGGCGTGCCGCCAGGCGGGGGTGCAGGGGTGCTAGCAGGGAGGGGGCCTCCTCCAGGCAGCGCGAGAGCAGCACGGCTCCCGGCCAGAGCTTGAGGCCGGTGCTGCGGGCCCACAGCAAGCCGGAGCCGCGGTAAGGGAACTCGAGCGCGCGGGCGGCCTCGGCGGCGGCGGCGGCGACTGCGGCTGCGCGGGGCGCCCTGGGGCGTGTGTGCCAGTGGCGTCCGTGCGCCGACGCTGCCGGAGCAGAGCTCATTGCCCTCAGCTCTTGCCAATTAGACTCGCTGTGCTATGTTGTAGGTTATAATTACTTACAAACGGCCTGACGGCGCGGCCAGGTCAAATGTCAAGGTCGGCGTCCCACGGTCGCAGATCGTTTTTCGTAGCACAGAGCGTGCGAGCTCGTCCAGTTGATAAATGCCTTATTTTTGGTCACTCAAACCTCGATTTATGACGCGTGGGGACTGCTACAGAAGCAGAAAGCCAGCCTGGTGGTGGCGCCACACCTCTCAACCTCGCGCTGCAGCGCCTGTCCAAACCCATTTTAGAGACTCATATGCCCAATATTCAACGGAGTGAGTGATGGCAGTCAGCCGTTTGTGGTATAAATCCGCAAGCCGGCCATCTGAAGCACCAGCTGGAGTGGGGGTCAACTGGATGCCCCTTCGCTATGATTACAAGACAATCAAATGGTGACACCAAATAGTTGGCTCTGCAGTTTGAATGCATGAGAGATTTGAATAATATGAATGAGTGCCTGCAATCATTTGCAGGCAGGGCTACCCGGCCTGTGATACAGGTGTCCTCAGGAGTGGGCGCGCCGCGCCACACAGCTGGTGTTAACCAAACGCGGGATCAGCCTTCAGCCGCGCACGGGGCCGGTCCGGACGGGGCCAGGCCGACAAAATTATCAATCCCTCATCCAAAACCGAGTTAACGCCGTCGGGGTGTTCAAGGTTTGCTCAAGCTCTCACGACTGAGCCGCCGCCGCCCTGCGACCGCTGCCTGCCGCAGGCGCCCATGGGAGCAGCGGGGACGCGCTGCCTTGGATCAGCACGCCCCAGGCTGGTGCGATGGGGAGCGCATTGTGATGGGGAGTCTGGCACAAGTGCTCAATTCGTAATGCTGGTGCTCCGAATGACGTGTGTTGTTGGAAGATGTCCCCCTCAATGTTTGCGAATGCAGCGACCGAGAAACGAACGAAGGCCGCCGGCGCTACCGCCAGCCCGCCGTGCGCCGGGCACGCAGGCGCCATGCGGCGGCGGTGCGACGGGCGGCTCTTGTCCATGCCGTGGTTCGATAGGGATGATGGGAGGGCAAACCTCATCCATAGGCTGCCTGGGCCCCTCGTGCGGCCCCAGGGCCGGCCTTCGCGTCGCAGCAAAGGGTCGTGGACCAAGGCGATGACGTCACAGTGCAAAACGGGACAAAGCCGGTAAAGTCGTGAAAGAGATGAACGCAGGCGGGCGGCGCCCCTTCGAGTGGGGCGCGGCGTACATATGCCGAGCGGCGGGGCGAGGACCGGGCCCCGTGGCGAGCCTGCGCTCACACCCACCCAGCTTGAAGGGTGGGAGCCATGCCACATGATGGCTGGCGTGTCTCCCCCCACACAGTTTTGCACATGCTGCACCCACCCACCCACCCCAATATTACGCCCTTCGCCCGCACCACGCGCGAGATGCGCACGAGGCGCCCCTTAGCGCCGGGTTTTGCCAGTTGTGCCGCTCGCACACCCAAAAACAGGCGGCGCGCCGCCGGCAGGCGGCGGGCGTTCAGTCCTCCCAGCATGGCGCGGCCCCGCTCGCGCGCCACTCCGCACCTCCTGCCCCCGGGCCGCCCGCCCCGGCCGCCCGCCAGCCGCGCAGCGCCCCCCAGCCGACGCCGCCGGCGCGGCACTGTGGCGGCGCGGAGCTGGCCAGAAGGTCCGAGCGGGTGGGCACCGCGGCCTCAGCAAGAGCCCAAGTGAGGCTCGCCTGCATGTCATCCTGGCCGCCGCGCCCCGGCGACCCTGCACGCCTGTCGAAGGGCGTCCGGTCTCTCCGCGCGTCCTGCTGCTGCTGCTGCTGCTGCTGCTGCTGCTGCTGCTGCTGCTGCTGCTGCTGCTGCTGCTGCTGCAACCCTTGGAGCTGCTGCTGCGGCTCCAAC